ATAAAAAACAACAATAAACCGTTTTGAATTAAATTGTTTTAAATGCCACAAACTCCAATCTTCTTGCAAGCAGATGCAACTTTAAATTTAACTGGGTCAAACACTTTAACAGCAGCTTCAGTTAATCTCATAGCAACATCAATACATCTAGCTTGGTTTTCTGGTAATTCTTTATTGCATCTATGATGAAGTCTTTCTAAAATTATACGATCTTCTTCCCTATTTCTTAATGATGTTTTGATTATTCTTCCAAGACTATGGCAATATCTGCAATTAATAATTCCTCCAGTACAAACAACTTTTGGTTTGACTGCTTCTTGTAAGAATTTACGTGTTCTAATAGCTTCTTTCATTCTATGTGCATCTTCAAGACTTCTTTTCTCTAAGCTTTCTACTTCTTTATCTAATCTATTTAATTTTCTTTCAGCTCTTTGTTGTTTATGTGGAATTAATTCATATAAAGCAGCTCGTAATGTTTCTGGTCTTTTAGCAATTAATTCTCCCTTTCTCTTCTTGTCTGATTCCATTCTCTTTTTCAATTGAATGAGATATTCTTTGTTCAATGCCAAATACTTCTTCATAATAATTGTTCTTTGATTTTCTAAGACGTTAATTTTCTTTTGGACATTTCTCTTAATCTTTTCAAGTGCAGCAACAACACCTCTAGCAATTACTTTTTCATTATCTGCAAGGAATGGAAGTCTTTGTTCGGCAACAGCAATTTTCTTCTCTAAACGAGTTAATTGGTGTCTAACATGTTTCAAAAGATGTTCATTCTTAATATATGCCTTCTTCTGTTTATTGAATCGTTTTTTAATAATTCTGAATGATCGTGCTTCAGATCTTCTAACATATTCACTGTGAATCTTTTCTAATTTCTTATTGATCTTATACAAAACAATTTGTAATTTATGTGCTTGTAAATAATTATACTTTCGGCTGAAGAGAATTCTGCACTTCTTTATTTCACAAATTCCTTTTCTTAACTTTCTAGTGATTTTAGTATCTTGTTTAGCAAGTTTATTTAATTCAGCAATGACTTTAGATTTTCTAACTTCCCATTTAGTTTTGTATGCAAGGAATTCACTAATTTCTGCTTGATATAATTTGTTATATTTAACCTTTAACATATCAACTTTTCGTGCTAATTTCTTTCTCATGCTTTCAAGTTTAACAAGTTTCATTGTTAATTTACCATTTCTGCCAAGATATTGTCTTCTCTTCCATGGTTCAGTTGAACTAGTAGCTAACTCTTTATTCTTTTGAATCTTTCTAGAAATTACTCTAATTCCATGTTTGGCTTCATGAAGAGCTGCCTTAGCTCTATGATAATCTATCTTAGTAACCATTAATCGTTGTCTCTTTTCTTCTGCAATAGCTTCATCAACTAATTTAATTTTCATTCTAAAATCATTAATTTCAACTTTCAATGATTGGATTTCATTCTTAGCATTCTTGATAATATAATTCATTCTCTTTCTTGTAATAACTCCAGCACATGCTTTCTTAAATTTAGCAACTCGAATTGTATTCTTCAATTCTTTTACACTAGCTTTAAGAGATCTAACCATTGCTTTCATATGTTTGTATTCCTTAATAGCAATCATTCTCAATTTCTTATGCATCATACCAATTCTTAATTGATGAACTCTAATAGCTTTCATAGAATGTGAAATCTTTCTTGCAACATGTTTTAATCTTCTATAATTAATAGAAAGTCTCTTTCTTAATAATCTTTGATTAGCAGGACATAAGTCAAGTCTTCTACCGTACTTCTTCAATTGATGAATTCTACCAACAACCTTCTTCTTATAAACTTCATATTCTTTAATACTTAATTTGTGTTCAGTAATTCTCATATTAGCATCAATAATTTTCAATTTCAATAATCCTCTCAAAATAGCATGAACTTTTTGAATAGAAATATTTTTCATATCTCTAATATCTTTCTTCAAATTATATACACTACTCTTAGCTTGGAAGAATGCAAGTCTAGCTCCTTTAAGTGCAATAGCTTTCTTTTCTCTTTTAACAAGACTTCTGGCTCCATTGTATGCTCTTTCTGCTTTTTTGTATTGTCTCTTCAAATAACTAACTTGTCTCTTTGCACTTCTTAATGCTGCCTTCTTTATTTTCTTTTCTGCATGATACTTTTTATTATATTCTTTCATTTGTTGTTTCATTTTATTAATTTCTACTTTTCTAGCTTTTCTTTCAGCCTTTCTTCTTTTTAAAACTTCAATTCTTTTCTTAATCATCTTTTGTTTCTTCATCAAATATTCTCTTTGGGTTGATAATTTTCCTCTCTTTCTTTCATCAACAAGAACGGCAAGTCTTTCTTCAACATGTTTAATGTGTTTTTCAACTTGGTTCAACATAGCAAAGACTTTAGCATGTCTCATAGCTTTCTTAACTAATTGAATTCTCTTATTTTGAATCTTCTTAGCATATTCTTGTTTTTGTTTTAATACATTAGCTAATTTAGCTCTTAAATATTTAGCAATACCTTGTAAATGAACAATCTTTCTTCTCATAATGGATTTCTTACTTTCTAATTGTTTCAATTGTCTTTTAATTCTATTTTCTTTAATAGTAAATTCACGAACAATCTTTCTTGCTTGATTCTTTTGGATTAATTGAAGAGCTCTCTTTTTGGTAACATTAATTTTCTTTCCTTTTCTCATAGCTTTCATTTCCATTTTTGTAATTTTAGCTTGCATAGATGTTCTAAGTTTTTTAATCTTTAAAATAGCAGCTTTCTTTTGAGAAATTAATTTTGTTCTTTTAATTTTAAGTGACTTGCGTGTTTTTGAATAAATATGAAGTCTTTTTTGAAGTCCTTCAATTTGGGTATTAATCTTTTTTAATTTACGATGAATCTTAGATGTTTTTCTATCAAATTGTCTCTTCTTAGCAACTTCTCTTAAGGCAATCTTTCTAGCAATCTTCTTTTCAATAGAACTTCTAATTTTTTCTGAGATTTGTGCCTTTTCTCTTTCATATTTATTATCATCTTCAAGTTCAAATTCTTCTCCTTCAATATTTACAGTATTTTCTACATCCTCTGCAAATATTTGGGCAATTAACATAAAGCAAAGTATGAGTTGCAATAATTTCATTGCTCTAAAAAATATAATTTTAAGTTCTGTCTCATATTTTTTCCATTGATTTTTCTTATTTTCTTTTTTTTTTTAAATTTTTAATATCAAAAAATAAATTAAAATGTATTTTTAGTAAATAATGTTTTTCATAAATATAGGTTTTAAGATGATTCTAAAATAGTAAAAAGTTTGTTTGATTATTTGTTCAACTCCCTCTTAAAAAAGAAGAATAACAACCTTATTAATTGAAGAAATAAGAGTTGACCAAAAATAGTGAATCTAGTTTTTCTCTTTTTAAAAAAAAGTATTTATAAAAAGCAATGTAAAAATAAAATAAATTGAAATAAATAAATAAATGAAAAGAAGAAAGAACTTAAAAAGTCTCAAAGAATAATGGAATTTTTCTTCAAATTTGAAGGTGTTTTTCATACAGAAAATGCACCAGAATGCAAAGACTTAACACAGAAATGTACTAATGAAATAATTAATACGATGAGAGTTTGTTTTGTAATACAAAATCCAAGACAGAATAATGATAAGTAGGATTGTAATAATCCAGACATTGAACCATCTCAAATGTCTGAGATGCTATTAAAAAAGAAAAACTTAACATCAAATTTAAAAAAATTAGTTAAATTTATGAAAGGAGAAGTCGAAGTAATTCAAGACCCTGATGAACAGAAAGGGTCAATGGAAGTTTATAAAGAAACAAAAAAATTAGTTAAAGAATTAATTGAATTACAACAATTAACTGAACTTGATGGGGAAGGAATTAAAAAGTTTTGTACTGGAATGGTTGATGTAATAAAACATGTTTTAGATATTGTTATTTTAACAGACAAATGGTCAATTAAAATTTCTCTTGATTATATTGATCAAATTTATAAAAGTATGATTAATGCAGTAAAATCATTTAAAGAATTAGGTCCTTTAGATAGAAGAGAATTAACTAATTTATATAATAATGCTGGTCTTTTAACTAATTCTATTGCTCAATTCACTTCAACTAGAGCTTGTGTATATCCAGATGAACGTTCTGAAAGAATGAAAGAAGACTCTATTGCTTTAAGACCTTCTTTTGATAATTTTTTGAAATTCGTTAGTGGTGTTTCTGATGATAAAACATCAGTAACTCATTTTAAACAAATATTAATGGAAATAAAAGATATATTAAAAGACCCTGCACAATTCTCTGCTTCAATTGATGTCACTCAAAAAGATAACCTTGAAGATGTTTATAACAACTTCAAAGATGTCATTGATGATCCTACACTTCCTGATGATGAGAAAGATTCTGCTTCTTTAGCTCTTTTAGAAGGATTTGAAGGAAGAGCTATTGCTAATTTACATAGTTCTGACCCAAAACGTGCACGTGCTGCTACTGCTGTTGTTAAAAAAGTAAGAGAAAATACTGTTGGAAAAAGAAAAAAAGAAATGCTTATGGTTGCTCGTTCTTTAGCTAAAGATATGAAAGCAATTTGTGATCATTTAGAACCATTAGATAATACCGTTAATAAAGAAATGAATGTTGTTACTGATGAGTTACTTGGTAATCTTTGTGATAAATTAAGTGCTTATTAATTCCTTTAATGAACTGTCTTTTCTACAAACAACTTTTTTGTTGATTCGAGTTATTCTTTAAATTTTGTTTTGTTTTATAAATATATGAATTATATCACATTTATTGCGTTTATTATTTCTAGTCTTAGTTTTTAATCATTAATTAATTAAACAAAACGTCTTTAAACATTTTTGCTTTTCTAATAAATTCTTTTTGCTTTTTTGAATGTGGAGGAAGTTTATTCATTTAAGTAGAATAATTACTCCTTTTGTTTAATTTATTTTGTTTATTATCTCATTTTCTTGAAAATAATAGATTCTATGAAATTCTACTAAATTGTTTTTACATTTATCTTTTAGTTCTATCAATACAAATCAAATTTGTAGAGCTGCGACTTGAATATTTTAAAGAAGAGAGTTGGGAGTTGTATTTCTTTTAAATTTGGTTTTTTAGAAAGTTACATAAATTATTTAGTGTGTAACTAAAAACTAAAGAATGTATTAGTATAGGGGTTTTGTCTTAAAGATGGAATAGAATAAAAATAAGATTTTGATAATTTTGTTAATTTCATCACAAGACTCTCAAGCTATTATTAAATGTCTACTTATTCATTAAGTGAATGAAATTTTTCTGAGATTATTTTAATGAAATAAACTTGTCTGTGTTTAGAGACGTTAGTAACATCTATAATTTTGTTTAATTTTCATCCAATCTTCTTAAGAAAGAATAGTGTGATAGAAGAATTATTTTAAAACATTTAAAATAGAAATGTCAAAATATTTATGAAATATCGAAATTTTATATGCAATTCATTGTGAATTGAATTGAAAATGATTAAATTGATACAAAATACAACACTTGTATAAAGTGACTTAATAAATAGTGAAATTATTGAATAAAGAAGTTAAGTATGAAAAATTAAAGTATAAGAAATGTATGTTATGGCGAGATAATTTATGTTTTCTATAATTTATCCTGTTAATAGTTTGTATTTTGAATTCACTAGGTATGTGACTCTTTATGTAACACCAAATAAAGAAAAAGTCAAATAACATTCAAAATAAATTATAGAATTTATATTGATAAACTCAATATGTGTCTTGAAAATAAAAATATGAAATATGACAATTGATAATTAAATATATTAAATGATTTAAATTAATAGGGATGAATAGAAATTAGCAATGAAATAAAGCAAATAAAATAATAAACAATTAATTAAGTATTAATAGAACTGGCTTCTATTGTTCCTGGCTCAGAGGAGACTTTACCTCATTCATATCCATATCTAATTTCTTTTTATTTTAATTAAATCCATTCACTCTTTTATTATCATTTATTTTTCATAACAATTATCAATGTATCAATTATTTTAGTGTTTGTTTATTATCATTTCTTTTTTTTTATTTCTGTATTAATTTTGTATTTTTTACAATTCTTGTTCTTATCATAAATCAATGTGTTCAATGAAATAATAATTCAATTAAAGAATAGCAGAACACCCTTCATCATTAAAATAGATTTCTTTTAAATTTATTTCTTTTTTAACCCTTCTGGACATTCTTCAAAACATCCACATTCAAATGATGTATTGGTTAAAATATAAAATGATGTTAATGAATAACAACATTTAAAACATAAATATTCAATTGATTTAATTTCTATTGGTATTTTATTTCATTATTCCATCATATTATATATATTCTATATTTTTAAATACATTTCATTCTTTTTATTTTAAAGATGATACATATTAATTATTTAAATAATCTTTAATATTCAAATATTTCATATTCTTCATTATAAATAAGAAATGATTCATTGTTATCAAATAATATTATTGAATAATGAATTAAATTAAATAGATTAAAATGAAATTATTCAATGTTTCATTGAAATATTTTAATACCATTATCAAAATACATTGGTATTATTATTTCATTCTATCATAAATTCATTCATTCTTTGTTATTTATTATTGTATTTTCAACTGTTTTTTTTAAAAAATAATTTTAGAAATATCATTGGATTTTTCTTCTTATTTTTGTGTTTTTGAAAGAATAACAACAATTATTGGAGACGAAAAGTAGCAAAGAAAAATGCATCTAAATAATTTA